GAAATTTTGCAGGGATATTCTCTGTGCATGGGCGAGCTAAAGATTCCAAATTCAGCTGTCGCGCACGCCTGTGCAGCTCTTGCGATCACGTCAAAATTTGAGAATTGCTACTATGCTAACTCGAAAACTTGCTGGAAAACAGTAACTAAAATTTTGTCAGCATGTATGTCGCCCACACGAGAAATCGTATATCTAAAATGAGTGCCGATTTGCACTTACGCCACGATTTAGGGCTTTTCAAAGATATTTGTAGCGAAGTGGATATTTCGCTTATCGGATAAGATGCGAGACTGAAAATTCGCTGAGATTTTCTACTTTCGAGTGCTGTCTTAATTCTGTTTGAAGGTGAAATTCCCCACAGGTGGACATGAGAAATACTCGACTTTACCAGAAAATCAGAAACGAGTGCGTTTTGCATACTTGGATTTCTTGAAAAGCGACCGCTCTAGCAACATTTTCACGTTTTAGTGAACTGAAAATTTGCATTTTTCATTTCTTTAAAGAATTTGCATTTTTCGTTTTTTCGAAAATGGCGCATTTGCTGAAAAAACGACCGGGCTTTCCGGTAATCATGTACCGGGAGGTCTATGCGGCTCTATAATGCACCCCCTTCATCCCAACTGATGCCCCAGCCTGAGTTTTTTACTGATTTCTCCAGTTTGTCATCATTATTAGCATTATTACCTCAATCTGATTCGTGTTAATTATTGCTTGGTTGAAGCGATGGATTTTTTGCTTCAGTCCACACACTCTATCATTTGCCTTAAAACAGTTAAGGATTTCAGCAGTCCTAAAGATGGCTTCGATAGATCGGAACTAAAGCAGCATCTCTGTTCAAAATTATCTTACTTTTGCTGTGATTTGTTGAAATTGACATTTTTTCGTTATCTTTGACTCAAAAATCAGATGTTTTAAGCATAAATTATAGGTTTCTGACTCCTCATTGTTGTTATTTTGTTCAGGTAATGCACACATTCAGACTTCTGCAGCTTACCTCCTCACTTCTTCCTGTAAACATTTAATTTATGGCGTTTGGCACCTTTTCGTTTTATTCCATGAAAATAGCGCTTTTTGACCAAAAAATTGAGATATTTTCCCATTTATTCCACTCTAAAAAATTACTTGCACTCAAAGGGCTGAATTGAGAGCATGAAGCGATTTTGTTTTTAGGTGACACGCGTTGAGCCGCGAGGAGCTTCGATTGGACGAGTGGGCGTCGGTGATAAAATCGTCGCAATTAACGGCGTTAAGCTAAACAATATTCACGAGCTGAACGAACAGCTTGCTAAGCCGGCCAAAGTATTTAAGCACCCACATAAATTAAAACACGAAATTCTTGAAGAATTTTCAAATTTTTTTTCAAAATTAGGTATTGTCCAGACGAAAGTTTAGCTTATGATCGAGACACAGAATGTTGCATCGACCGGTAGTGCTATTTGCTTGTTTTAATCCTACTACATTTGAACTTCGTGGTAGTTCAAGTTGGTGCTGGCTTGTTTGGTATATCTGATGCTCAAGTTTGCTTCGGCTTGCTTATCAAGCAATTCAGACAACTTCAGCCTGTTCTTCTTAACTCTTGCATCTTCTGTTTTCATAAAAGTACAATCGTCAGGCACCGCTTCCTGTGACTTTTTTAAAAAGCAAAATGGAAAAAGAATCTGAGAGTGCCCAAGTAACAAACCATTGGACTCAGCTGGCCTAAGCGATACGTCACGGCCTAAAATCCGTCTACTTGAAAACAAGGTTTTCTTGCAGCTATTTCCGATCTTCAGACCTGTGAACAAGCAAAACCAGCAACAGGAACTAACTGTACATTTCACCTGATAATTCATTTGGGAAGTGTTTTTTTCGAATGACACACTGTTTGTCATCATCC